CGTGAATTTTTCTTCTATGCTCCTCAACATCTACAAAAACAAGCTTCAAAATGTATACATTTTCAGTTATAAAATAAGGATAATTTTCAAGCAACTGTAAATTATAATAATTATATTATAACATATTATATTAATAATTTACTGTTCTATTAAGCCTAGTACGAATTCTTATCAGTTTATTTCCAAAACTTTTAAATTAAGAATGGTGTTTGTGCATCCTAAACTATTCTCATTTAAGATTGTACCATAGAAATAAATCGTATGCATATCATATTTTATTAACTTCAGTGTTACTGATCAGTAAAGCTGTTGTACATCAAAAGTAGTGTGAACATTCTTGGTGTTTCATTAGCCCTTAAGATGCATACTTTTCTGTTTCAAAATAGTCTTCGATGTCTTATAGACATTGGACTGTCATATGAGCTGCTTTTTCCCTATCCTAATTGCCTGTAGACATGAATAACAAGTCATTATTGATAGAGTGACAAAAGCATCTTAACAATGCATGTAGTTAAACATAGGAAATGTATCTTCTGTGCTTGAATATAATCTGAAAAAACTGTGCATTTTTCTGAACTCAAGTCAGTTTAAATGTATGACGGTGTCGAAACTTCTAATTGATTCTCTAAAGTTTGGAATTTTTCAAGGAATTTTTGTTCATGATTAAATTTGCTCATCAGGCAAAATATTAAACACATTTTTGTTTAATTTTTTTTTTGGGTACTCTTTAGAAAAATTACTTATTCCTAAATAGTTCGTTCTCAGAAGTAATTTACCGAAGATTTCTGAAGTAGACAATCACTTTAGACTTACCTACGTAAATGTATTTTAAAATTCCTTAATAGATGACTTAAACTATTGTAATTAAAATAATAATAAACTAATTGTTGCTTAAAATAAGTCTAATTTTTCATTTATAGTTTTCATACAAAACAATCGATTGTTTTAATTACTTTACTCGACTTTTAAATCTTATTTTAAACCTTCGACTTAAAATAAAATTTGGAAACTAACAAGGGCGCCATATGAGAAACTTTCCTGTACAGTATTGAAAACGCGAATATCTTGTCATATTCTATTTCCCATGAATTCTATTTTCCATTTGTGCGTCGCCAACTTTTAGAAATGTTACAGTAAAAATTATAAAGATTTTTAAATTAAAGTATATACTTTTTATAAATTTTAAGAGTGTGAAAATCTTTGTAGGCGATGGTCCTGTCTCTGCCAATCTTGAAATAAGAAATTGAATGACTATTAAAATTATTAATTAACAAAAGAAAGCAAGATAAATAATAACTTACAAAAGGAAATAAAAGGTAACAAATTAAAATAAGCTATGCAATCAATAGTCATAAAAGCAAATTAACAAAGCATAACTAACAAAAACAAGCTAACAATTAATAACTAGCAGAAAAATAATAATAACAGTTAATGTAAGGAATCTCTTAATAAACTTACTGTTTTTGTAGTACATATTTTCTCATTTAAAATTATTATAAACTATTTTACAGTGTCTTACAGATAAGTAAACAACTTTTAAACTAATTTAATTTTCTTTCACATTGAATTTTGAAATCGTTTAGAGTGCCACGACAAAAAAAAAGAGTTAGTGCTCTAAATGTTATGGAAGATGTGCTCAGAAAATTTGTAGTTGACTGTAATGGATAACATCTGCCTCTCTGTATGTTGCCCCCATCATTGTTACTCAATGTGCACAGAATCCAATCTCGAATATATGACTAGTTTCTTTTGATTTTCACGTAGTCCAGGTTTCTGAGCCACAGGTCTAGTAATAGTTTAATATAACGAGATTTCCGTTTTTTCTCTTAATCATTAGATTGTAAATTTTCTAAGCCATTAAAAGTGACTTGGTGGTTTTGGGGATAGAACGTTCGCCTTCCAATGAGGTGAACTGGGTTCGAACCCAGCGATGACTGGTCTACAAGAATCCCGTACCCGGCTAACACCAATCAATGTCCTGACGTTAAATATCCTCAGTAGTAGATGGATCATAGGCTAGTCCGCTTGCAGTGAGACTAACCGTGGGGGGTTTTCGTGGTTTTCCTCTCCATTCAATGCAAATGCGGGTTAGCTTCATATAATTTTTTTATAAAACATGAAAGCATGCGAAGGAGGGAAACGCAGTATTAAAAATGTGTAGTTAATTTTATTTAACGCAATATTGTAAGAACTTTGCTTTTGACAATATTAAAGTATTCCAAATCTTCTAGATTTAAACTAAATATATTTCTTAATAGATTTTATGTAAAATTGCAACTTTTTATGAGAGTATTTTAATATCTTTTTAAAATTAGATTATTCAAATTGTTTAGAGCAATTTTCAAATTTTGATGTATACTTCTGTTCGTTTCATTTCTTAACGATTAAAACTTAATTTGAACTCCATATTTTTGATTGCATCCTTTTGATACTTGTTTAAACTCTGTGACATCTGTATATAACAGACAATATAGATGAAAATTAAAACTTAATAGTTTTAAATTATGAATTTTTACTTTATTTTTCTCTTTACAATAAAATATATGAACTGTTTGCATAGAAAGCATTTAAAGCTCTCATAAAATTCTAACTTTTGAATTTAATATTTTATTTTCAAAGCTTGTTGACGTATAGCTGAAGTTATAACCAAATTTCCTTTTAGTATTACCTTAGAATGTTTAAAAGTTAATTTCTTTTACTTTTCATACATTTTTCTTTTACTTCCAAATATTTAACTTTGGATTTGGAGTTTTCGAACTGTATGATTAAAGAAACCCGTGTATTGCTTTTAATTTAAATTGTACAGATCTACTGTAGGCTGAATGTTCTTAGAGCTAGTGCACTCGAGTTGGGGAAAATCGGGGCTACTACCCCAGTTCAATGACCTCTAGTCTTATCGCTGTACATGACGGTATACTTATGGGGCTCTGGTGGGGGAAGAATTATTTATTTTTCTGAATGTAGATAAACTGTAATCTTTAATTCTGGTTAATAATCTTTAATTAAATAAGATTACTTAAAATATTTTTAATTTAATAATTTTTTTAATACTCCTAATTCTTCTGCTTATTTCAATTTTATTTCCACTTTCTTCAAAAAATCATTTCTATGACTTTAAATATTTTTCTATACGAAATTTATTATTTTCAAAAATTTTTATATAATGTAACAGTTCTTGTTCAGCTTTTGCATTTTATCAACTGGTGGTTAATGAAAAATGATCATTCTAGAGGATTGATTGTATGTATTAGTTGTGTTCATATAATGTGTTCGTAAATAATGAGTCTGATAAAAAAAATATTTCAGATTCGGCTACTGCCGCAGTAGGATAAATACAACTTAACATAACAACCTTCCGAAATTGAGAGATATTTGTGAGATCCCCTCTTTAGATAAGGTTTATTGGAAGGAAGATTTTTTTTTATCTCTATCGAAAGTGGTGGAATTGTTTTTATTTTTGGGACTTAAAAATTTTCTCAAGCTTGTATATTTTTGTTTTCAATATTTAAATTAATGTGTGAGTTATTGTTTTCCCTATAAAGCTTTATAATTGCATTGGTTTAATTTCTAAATGAACCCTTCTTTAGAGATTATATTTTTATTAATTTTAAATGTTATGTCTAATAATTCTAAACTGTTAAAATAATTTCTTAGTCGCAATGCTTATATTTAATTAGTTGATATAGTAAATGTGTAATAATCATTCTAAGTGATAATTATATTCAGTGGAATAAAATGGTTTGCGAGTTTGACAAAACTTGATAAATTTGCATACTCATTATCAGTAATATAGTGTAATTATATCTCATTAACAAATTTCCGTTAAAAATTAGTTTTATTAAGAAACAGTTTGGAAATATAAACAAAATACTGGCGCCTTTTACATTAACCTAAAAAATGTTAAGTAAACTCTTATCAAAAACTACATTTATAGAGTGACGTTAACTACGTCTCATTTTTAATCACGTGTGTACCAAAGTTTTCTGATTAGTTGCTAATTTGAAGTTAGAAAAATTTTCAAACCATTTATACTTAGAAAATTTCTGATGTTTGCACTTTGAATAACTTTCGAATTGTTTTGACTTCGAAAAATATTCAAAATTTTTTCTCCTCAGAAATATTTTGAAGTTCTGTGATTTTTAAAAGTTTTCAAAGTTGAGAAAAAAAAAAGGTATTTTAAGAGTTGCAGAAGTTTGGTGTTAGAAAAAATTTTCAACTTGTTCCGACTTTGTTCCCGACTTAAATTTGTTCTGTGAAAAGTTATGAAAATGTTTCAACATAAAAAACTACTTTAGTTGGAAGAAATTGGTATACAGGAAGTCACAATTTTTTTTAAAAAAATTATCGTGGCTTTGAAAAATTCAAAATTGTTTGAAAAATTCTGAATCTGTTGTTTTTGGAAGAAATATTCTGAAGTTGTATGTGCGTAGAAATTTTTTTTAGTGTGAAATAACGAACATATAAGGAGCAGTAGGTGTTTGGTCATGGGAAAATTTTCAAACAAATTCAAACTAATTTTGAAAAATTTTCCATTTTTTTGTACTTTTAAAGCCAACAGATTCTAAATTTTTCAAAGTTCTGAAAATGTTTAGAATCAGGAAAATTTTGAAGTTGTTGGTACTTTGGAAATTTTTAAAGTTTTTAAAAAATTGGGTGTATAAAGAATCGCATTATATAAGCTGTAAGTCAGAAAAATTTTCATACTGTTAGTACCTCGAAAAATTCTGATGGCACTTAGAAAATTTTTGATTCTTCTTTCGAAAGATCAAGTTGTTTATACTTTTGAACATAGAATAATTTTCAAATTGTATTGACTTTCAAAAACTTTCTAATTTTCCGTACTTAGAGAAATTCTGAATCTGTTGACTTAAGAAACATTTTTAATTTATTTGAAATCTAAAATTTTTCGACTATTTAACAAATGGAAGATGTTTTGTCTTTTAAAAATTTTCAAATGTTTTGTAATTAGAAAAACACTGCGTACATACATTACTTAGAAAAATTCTGATGTAGTTTTTACTTAAAATATTTTTTAAATTGTTTTCACTTTGAAAAGTTTTCAAACTTTCAGTACTTTGAAAATGTTCTGCAGATGTTTAACCGTAGAGATTTTTTGAATTTGATAAAAACTGCTATATAACGAGTAGTGGAAGCTGGTTTTAAAAATTTGTTTCGACTTCGAAAAAAATTCAAATCGTTTACATTTACAAAAATGCTGCAGTTGGTAATTAAAAGATTTTCAAACTGATTTTGACTTAAAAAATTTGAATATTTTTCGTACCTATGAAGTTGCTTAAAAATTTTTTAAGATAGAAAAAAGGGTAGAGTAGCAGAAGTTTGGGGTTAGAAAAATTTTCTACTTAATTGGATTTGTTTTGTATTTAGAGTTATTCCTAAATTCTTTGAACATAAAGAATTATTTTAATTGGGAAAAATGGGTATTTAAGAAGTCACAGGAGTATTTGTTTTTTTCAAATTGTTTTCACTTTGAAAAATTTTCCAATTATTTGTACTATGAAAAATTCTCAATCTGTTTGTTTCAAAAATATTCTGAAATTGTTTGAATGTAGAGAACTTCAGTTGAAAAAAAGGGTTTATAAAGAGTTACAAAAGTTAGAAATCGGAAAAAGTTTCAACTTGTTCGTACTTAGGAAAAATTTTAAATTTGAGTGTACTTTTAAAAAGTTTAATTTTTTGAACTTAGAAATATTTTAAATTTGTTTAAACACATGAAATTTTGAAGTCTGAAAAATGAGATATATATATAAACAGTAGAAGGTGCTGGGAGCAGTTCAAGAATTTTTATTGACCAAAGACCTGCTCCTGATTAAATATCTCATTTTTCAAATTAAGATTAAAGATTAAAAATGCAAAGAAAACTTTTAGAACCTGTGCTTGTATACTGTTCAAAGTCATGGGCTACATCAAAATTGTCTGATTATCTCCATTGATTTATCATTTTTGTTTTGTGCATAGATACTGCTTTTGTGTGTTGTATTTTTCAGAATTTACTGTCTTCATGATATCCTGCTGATGGACACTTTTCGAGAAGCTAAAACTTCATCAGATCTTTTTTATGATAAAGCCTAGGACGTGTCTATGGAAAACGGAACGATTTGAAGATATTAATGACGAAATACTCAATCGCATTCTTGCTGGCCTAATAGGTAAGATGGTAAATTTTTCTCTTCCTTCTCCTTCCGAGAACTTTTCACTTAATACACTTTTCATTTTTAGCATCTCAAAGCAGAATGGTCATCTTATTGTGATCCTTTTGGCTCCAAAATTCTCTAAAACAGCTACCCGGAAGTGTAGTCAGTCAAGAGCTTGCAGCGATTCCTGATGTAGAGAACACTATACTATCTGTTTATTCTTCCTGATTGATTTCGATTTCTTAATTTATTTTTGTTTTGTGCGTAGGACCAGATTTTTCGTCTTGTATTTTCAGAATTTACTGTCTTGATATCCTGCTGATGGACACGTTTCGGGAAGCTAAAACTTCATCAGATCATTTTTATGGTAAAGCCTAGGACGTGTCTACGGAAAATGGAACGATTTGAAGATATTAATGACGAAAGTTCTTGGCCCACGAGCGGCTGTAGAGTAAATCGCTTATGCGTTCTGATGAGGTTTCACTTGGCCTAGAATTACCCTAAGTTTAATTTCACTTTTCTTACTATCAACCGTTTGAGTGCTGAAGTGTTTTCTTATATATGCTAATAGTGCGGAATGAAATGCGTACAACACTACTAACCAACTACTACTAACTACTACCAACCAACCACTAACCTACCTATACTAACCAACAGCAGTGTCTCCGCATTTTTGGTTCAAAACAAGATTTCCGCATTTTTGGCTCATCCGCACTCAAACGGTTAAACGGAATTTTTCACGAAAGCTAATTTTTAATTACCGAATTTTTGTTAGTGAGTCAATTTTTTGTGATTAAACTTTTTAGTGTTAACCCATTTTAAGTCAACAGAATTCGATTCTATGAGAAAGAAATAGACTTAGTGTTGATTGAAGCAGGTATAAACTAGTTTTTATTATTTTGCAATGTATGGAAACACTAATTGTCAAGGTAAGAAAACTCTGTGTAAAAATGCGTAGTTGCATTTAAAACTATGCAGTTACATTTAGTTTTCTAATATAATATTGGAAGACTAAAATTATTAAATCGTAAATTATTCAATTAAAATTATTCAATTATTCTTGTAACGAAATTATTCCAAGTAATTTAAATTGTTTAACATTATTTTAAATCTGTTTCTGATGGATTTTTATCAATTTTATCTTCAGTAGATTTTTATCTCAATATCTTTCAAATTAGCAGAATATTCAAATTGTTTAGGATTATTTTTAAATATTTATTTAGTTTCTTCTGTTCGTTTCATTTCTAAATTAAAACTAAACTGGAGCTCTTTATTTTTGTTTGCATTCTTTTGACATTTCTTAAAATTAATTCTAAGAAATCTTCTGTAATTGACAAACGCATTCAAATTTGAATGAAAATTAAAGCTCAAAATAAAAATGTATAAAAACGCCAATATGGCTTTTCTCACTGTACAATAAAATGCATGCATTATGATGACATTAAAAAGTACTTAAATCTAGTATAAAATTCTAAGCTTTAAAGTTAATTGAGTATTTTTTCGAAACTGGTTTAAATATTGATTTATTCTACATTATTGTTTTAGATTGTTTAATTTCTCCTTTTTGTGTGCATAGATACTGCTTGTGTGTCTTGTATTTTTCAGAATTGACTGTCTTCCTGGTATGCTGCTGAGGGACACGTTTTAAGGAGCTAAAACTGCACAGGATGATTGACTTCGAATAAAGAATCAGAAGAATCTAGGACAAGCAGCACTATCTTAAGACCTGAATGACTTCTTCCCACAAAAAAAACTTTACTCCTTACTGGTCTAGTAGGTGAGACGATAACCTTTATTTTTCACTCTTATCCAAATTTAAACTAAAAAATCTTATCGCAAATTGAATATTGGTAATTTCTAGATTCATGGCTTTGTGATATCCAGATGAAAGAGCTTTTCGAAGTTCTGCAACCTTTTCCAAATGGGGGAAAGAACTGATTAGTTTTTGCCCTTCCAATGAGATGGCTCAAGTTTGAATCCACAGAATCTGCTGCTATCGACAGATAGTTTTTACTCTCACAGTCCAGTGCTGACATAAAATGTCCTTAGTGGTAGACTGATAGTGGGTTGAAATACCCATACCGACGGGCTAACCGTGGGAGGTCTTTCATGGTTTTCCTCTCCATGTAACGCAAATGCGGGTTAGTTGCAACAAAGTCCTCCATGAAGGCTAGTTTGATCCAGGTGTTCCCTTGTCTTCTGGTTTCGTTTCAAACGTCTTGGGTTTTAATTCTTATGGAAATGATCTGTATTAGTAGTAAACCCAGAGAGGGGTCTGCCGTCCACTCCTCAATGCTCAATATAAAAGAATTAACAATTTGTACACTAAACAAACCTGTTTTTCTTTGGAGAATAAATTTATGTGGTTTTTGCTCAAAACCCTGCAATGACTTTGCAGAATTTTTGTAGCTTATTTATTTACAAAATGTTAAAATCTACAGTCGTATTAAGTGTATTCTTAGTTGTTATACTAACTTTCATTTTTTGTTGTGGAAGGAACGTGTAATGAAAGATTATGTTAGAAAAATGTTTTTCTTAAAAAGAAAGTATTAATGTGTTAAATATTACCTAGTTTATGCATTTTCAGAGCCCACATACTTAAATGGAAAGCGTTCTCAGTACCTGTTTTTTACTGTTAGAAAGCTTTTGTGGCTAAGAGCAGACAAGTGATCGCAGAGTGTGGTTATATAAAGCGTGGCGGTTTGTGTTAGCATAGCATTTAGGAATAATTTAAAAATAAAATGTGACCTTTTTCTAGAAAATTAGTTATAGAAAACTAGTTGAGTAAGCATATTCGTGACTAATTGATGCGAGCAGTGATTAATTTTCTATTAATATTGGTTAGAAATTTCTTAGACACCTGAAAGTCTTGAAAAACAAATTAAGCCTTTTATAGGGAAATTTCTAAATTGAATTTGTTATTTCGAGAAGGGGTGATCTTCACTTTGGATCCATTGGAGAAAACCCCTTTTCAAAATGATTTAATTCAATTTTTAAGTTTGTCTGGAACATTTTTAAATGCGTTTTTTTAATTTTATAAGTGTGAAAAGTAACTTTGATCAACTTACTTGCTTATCTTCTATGTGCCTTGGGCACTTAAGGCCTCTAGCATATCCCTCCAACGCCTCCTGTCTTTAGCAATAGATCTTGCTTCCTCCCAGCCAGATATTCCACATTTTTTTATTCGCCCAAAAATATGCGCTGGATGGTAAGTCTGGGTCTTCCTCTTGTTCTCTTACCATCAGGGGCCCATGTAAGCGCAACAGATGAAATTTTTTCTTTGGGCATAACTTTGATCAAAATCCCCTTTTATTTAAGCTAACAAGCAGATTTAAAATTTCACAGGAAAATTTTCAGTTTCATAAACATGTTTTACTTTTTCATATGTAGGTTTAAATTTATGAAATGTAATTTCAGACTGTTGAAGTTAGTTTAATTGTAGAATTTTTTTCCTTAATTTTAAATGTTTCTGGATCTGTTTTCTGAGGGTAAAATTTAAAGTTCCATTCAGATTAATAAAATAAACTAATTTCTTAAAGCTTTTTATTTTAATACAGATTTAAGCAAAACTAAACTGTTTGTTAGAATTTGAGAAAATATGAAATTCCAAAATTGAAGAAAATTATATTTATTACATTTTTATATTAGATCGAATCATTTAAAACAAACTTTCAGATTAACTGCTCTCAGTCACCAAAGCTTTTATTTTCCCTGTCTTTGTTCTTTTAGCAAAGTTTTTCGAACTTAACATTTTATTTACCGCAATATATTTCGATTCTATGTAATATTTTCTGCTCCATGTAATCTATTCTACGCAATATATTTGTATTGTTCATAAGGGTTATAGCTGTGAGGAAAAAGTGGAAAAGTTGTATTTAAAATGTGTCAGTTTGCCCCTACAAATTTATCCAATTTAAATTGGTAGCACATTTTGATATGGTATTGTATAATTTTGATATCGTATATTAAATATGGTGTTAAATTTTTTGCTATTGAATTATTCAAGTTCAATTTTGTAATTTGCGCTACACTTTTTACATAATGTACTGATTAAATTTCCATTTCAACTTTGTCTTGTAATATTTTATTTACAAATAAAAGTGTTAAACTTGCAATTTAGTTTTTGATTATTTTTGGTTGACTTTCTTTTTCCTAGAGATGTTTATAGTTTATAATAAAATTTCCCATTAATTTATCAAAGTTCAATTATGTTCCCTTAACACTGTTTTCAGATTAAAAAAGTACATATTTGCGAGAAGTATATTTCTGCAATATATGTTCCAATACTGTACTGTGCGCTAAATAAACGATATCAAATTGAGTAACTTTTTGTTCTAGATCGAATTTTCACAAACTGTAGCCAATCTTAATTGTTCAAAAGAATGACTAACACNCAAACCTGTTTTTCTTTGGAGAATAAATTTATGTGGTTTTTGCTCAAAACCCTGCAATGACTTTGCAGAATTTTTGTAGCTTATTTATTTACAAAATGTTAAAATCTACAGTCGTATTAAGTGTATTCTTAGTTGTTATACTAACTTTCATTTTTTGTTGTGGAAGGAACGTGTAATGAAAGATTATGTTAGAAAAATGTTTTTCTTAAAAAGAAAGTATTAATGTGTTAAATATTACCTAGTTTATGCATTTTCAGAGCCCACATACTTAAATGGAAAGCGTTCTCAGTACCTGTTTTTTACTGTTAGAAAGCTTTTGTGGCTAAGAGCAGACAAGTGATCGCAGAGTGTGGTTATATAAAGCGTGGCGGTTTGTGTTAGCATAGCATTTAGGAATAATTTAAAAATAAAATGTGACCTTTTTCTAGAAAATTAGTTATAGAAAACTAGTTAGGTAAGCATATTCGTGACTAATTGATACGAGCAGTGATTGATTTTCTATTAATATTGGTTAGAAATTTCTTAGACACCTGAAAGTCTTGAAAAACAAATTAAGCTTTTTATAGGGAAATTTCTAAATTGAATTTGTTATTTCGAGAAGGGGTGATCTTCACTTTGGATCCATTGGAGAAAACCCCTTTTCAAAATGATTTAATTCAATTTTTAAGTTTGTCTGGAACATTTTTAAATGCGTTTTTTTAATTTTATAAATGTGAAAAGTAACTTTGATCAAAATCCCCTTTTA